GTAGGTAAAGTCAGGCACAAAAGTTAAATTTGATTTAATTTAAATTTAATATAGGTTATATTAATATAATCCAATGAAATTGATATGTCATTTAATGATCTTTTCTATTATACTAAAAATATACTTTGGTGGCAACTATGAAAGAGGTTTAGACTTACATGGCACTATGATTATAGTAAAGATAGCTTGCACAACAAATCATAACTTGATGCAAAATATAAAGCCAAAGTATAAATTTTCCCATAGTAGTTGGCATACTAAAGGCAGGTTCTAAATCTTCAGGCAGAGTTTTTACTTTTTGCTATGTCATGATTTGCTTTAACTACAGTTTGATGAATAAACAAAAAATTAAAAGTATACATCCAAATTAAACAAAATACAGAGGCAATTTATAGCAAATCCCAGATAGAAGACACTTCAGTGACATTTAATCTCTTCCAGTGGTACCTTTTAAAAGTAAGTCAGCAAGAGTGCTTATTTGAAAATCTTTTTACAGGGTTAAAATATTAGATTTATGCAGGTGGGGATTATAGAAAATTAAATGAAGTTACTCAAGTAATTATGATTCACATTAATTGGAGAAGTGGGGCAATTGCCTAAAGGCATACAAAAGACATTGCTAGGTTGCCACCATTTCCTCTACCCAGTTTCTAAATATTCTGGCCTGTGGTTAACTTCACTGATACCAACTGTCAAAATGTTGACACCACCACAAGCATTTCTACACCTTGCACCCAACTATCACTACAAATGACAGAAATGCAAAAGGTGGCAATTGGTCAGTGTTGCACTGCATTTTGAATGTTTAATGTTGGGTACATTTGTCCAGTGATTTCTCAAAAAACATTAAAATTGTTCTCAATAGTGAGATGGATAGCTATCTATCTATCGATCGATCGATCAATAGATAGATAGAAGCAATAGCTGTGAGCTGAGAGTAATTGTGAATCTGTGAAGGCACTGCTCTTTGCTGCCCTTTAAATATAAGTTTTAAAAAATGACACATTGACAAGGCATTTTAGCAAGTTATTTTCAATTAGGGCAGGGCAGAAGCTATTCTGACCCCAGAGGAATGCAGTCTGCTCATAAGTGCTATAAGGCTTCAGAGTAGCAAAAAGGAAATCACAGTGAGATTTCAAATACACTGTAGCCCAGCCAGAAATAAATCAGCTTAGCTCTTGACCTCTGCCAGCCTGGTGGATTCATTAGAGGTCTAATGCTGAATTTCAAGCTGGTTCAAAGGCTTCCTTTGGAGGTATCTATACATCAAACAGCTTTGCATCTGTATTGCACTGATTCTGCTCGCGAGACACATCTTATTAATTATGGACTTTTTAATATGACAGATTCTATAATTATGCTCCATTAGTATGTTCGTATAAAAATACAAATTGCAATTAAAAACATATATGCCAAATCTACCCTGTTAAAGTTTTGATTAAAGCAGGCAATTAATAGGGATGGTTAGGGAAAGCAATGGTGAACTATGGTACTCTGTAAAAAAAAAAATTTCACCAGAACACTTTATGGCAATAACTCAGCATGATCAAATGTGGATATCAACAGTAGATCCTCCAAGCTGGATGGTAGCTTGCAAACTACTAAAGGAGACCAAAGGCTAGCTTTTAGTAATCAGGGATTTTATGACATTGTTGAAAGAAAACTTTCAGGAACAATTGGCGGCATGACAAAAGAGGTTGACTTTGCTGTACAAAGTTATATCAAATTGGAACATGGAATGTTAAGAGGGATGTCCCTTGGGAAATTTGAAATTGTAAAAAGAGAAATGATTAGAGCAAACATAGTCATCCTTGACATCAGGACAGGCAGTATCAATTCAAGTCACATGAATTTATAGTTTATTTTTCTGGAAACATTATCATCAGATGAAAAGGAATTGCATTCTGCATAAGCAAACAAGGGTCTAAATGTGTGAGAATCAAAGAGCATGCAGCAATCTCATAATATCTATCCAAATTCGAGGCAAGCCACTCAATATCTCCATACCAGTGGTGGGATTCAATTTTTTTTACTACCGGTTTTGTGGGTGTGGCTTGGTGGGTGTGGCAGGGAAAGGATACTGTAAAATCTCTAGTCAGAGGTGATATTTGCTGATTCTCTGAACTACTCAAAATTTCCGCTACTGGTTCTCCAGAACTGGTCAGAACCTGCTGAATACCATCTCTGCTCCATACTACAAATCTGTGCTCCAACTCAAATGATGATATTGAACTTTTTTACATGAACTTCAATGTGCTATCAAGAAATACTCAAAAGGGATCTTTAGTATATTATGGGCAACTTCATTTCAAAAGTAGGCCAAGGAGAAGTTGCAAGAAGAGTAGGCGTACAATATACTATAAACTGGAATTTTAAAAATTGTGAGAAAAATCCTAAAATAATTAGCAGTTAACAATAGAAATAGTGAGGAAGACAATTAATGAGAAAGGAAAACAGTTAATAGTATGAGAAAAGAACCTGGTGGTTTCTAACAGGCATAGCTATTTTTCAACTTCCTTAGAAATTTCTGAAGAGTAGTCATCCAGGAAAAGAGGCATAACTTCCTGTTTGCAATTGCCATTAGAATTATTATCAGCTGAATATTCTGTTTATACTTAGTGTATTGTGTGTTGGTCTTTTACTGTGTTTGGTCTTGAACTGTAAATACAATTTGATTGATTACTTTGAAAAAAGCCAGAGTTTTGCCTGAAATGTTGGACAGCTGAAGCAGGCAGAACTTTTAGGGTTGGGCCCCAGCATGACTTGGAGAGATACAGAAAATTCAACTCTTAAAACTTTCTGATGGGCATAACTACTACTTATGGGAGGCCTAATACTGGGCAAGATTCAGGTGGACTATCTGTGGCCTAAAGTCACCTGGTCTCTCAATCCTTCTTGCACATTGTGAGAACCCTCCAAATAGGTATAACTCCACAATTTAGCAAGCCTTAGCATCTTAGAGAAAGCATTAAGGCAAGGCAAGATAGCTTAACATTCAATCACTTGATCAAAAATGTTGTCAAACCTTATTTGGGAGTTTTAGTTACTTGGCATAATTACAATATATAGGATTAGTTTTAACTATGAAAGCTATAACATTTTAACTATTAAAAAATGCCACTTTGCAGCAGCTTTATCTATCTGGGCAGAAGCAAGTGAGTCAAACATTACAGCAACTGTGTAGCAAACCACTCATCACCCTGTGGCTACTAAATACAACCGTTCAGTCTTCCCTGGCTAAGTCAACAAACACCACAAGGTCTTCATCAATGTGGCCTGATGAGACTTGGAAGGAGATCGAAAGGATAGAACCCAGAATACACTATCTGATCATTCAGGATAGATAAAAACTCTTGGTCATAGGTGGCCTCTCAGATAGGGAGGCCTTGTGCCATGTATAGGACAATCAGAACTTTGAATTAATTTGAATGGCAACCAGTGGTACTCAAGAAACAATGTTACATGGGCACCAGAAGTGGTACTCAGCAGGTTCTGACCAACTCTGGAGAATTGGTAGCAGAAATTTTGAGTAGTTCAGAGAACCGGCAAATACCTCCTCTGACTGACCCCACCCCCATCTATTCTCTGCCTCCTGAGTCCCAGCTGATTGGCTGGGTCTTCTTTTGTTGCCCTGTACAGGAGAACGGAGCTGGAAAGCAGGTTAATGGGGTGGGGAGGCAATGGGATTTTGTAGTAACCTTCCCCCAGGAGTGGGGAGGGAATTGAGATTTTGCAGTAAACTTATCCCAGAAGTGGAGAGGGAATGGAGATTTTACAGTATCTTCCCCTGCCATGCCCACCAAGCCACACCCACCAAGCCATGCCCAGAGAACCGGTAGTAAAATTTTTTGAATCCCACCACTGTGCAGAACTGTCCAATGAAGCTATGAAAGCCCAGTGTTGCCAAGTTGCCAAGGTTGGAGACCCCTGACCTAGAAAGATAGCTAAGAATAGTATTCCTAGTGTATGAGTGCCCTGCTGGTGCTTTCTTGGAAACTGAATGCTGCATTAGATGAATTTAATCCAGCAAGAGTTTTGTTGTGCTCTAATGCTGGATAGCAGCCTTTCCCCAGAATTGTTCAGGAAAAATTAATGTAAGGATAAGTGTTCTTTGGCAATAGGGCAGATGGCCTGGTGGAGCCCCTTTCTACTATATTATTATTATTATGGACTGTTAAGTTGAAAATAGGTGAGTACTTTGAAAGATGCCGCAGCAGCATACTTTTGGACAGGTCAAAAGGTTAGATTGGAGAGTTATTGAGGTCTTTACTCACTTTCCTTTCGATTTCACTGGATGATTTTAACAGTTTAGTATTTTATTCTGTGAAACTAAAAATCCCGTTCCCCATGTCGGGTGGTGCATTAACCATTAAGCAGACTAAGCACGTGCTTAGGGCACCAGGCCCAAAGGGGGCACCACGAAGTTAAGAAAGAAAGAAAAAGCAACAACACCAACGAAGATTTGTAACAAATCTTGTATGTACAAAGGAGGGAAGATTTGTCAGTGCTTAGGGCATCGGTGAGCCTTAATCCGCAATACGTCCCGGGTGGAGAAAAATCTCTGAACCCGGTTTTTCTTCAGGGCATTTTCCCCTTGGATCTAGTTAGTGAAAGGGACCGGGCGGGGGACAAAGGCAAGGGCAGCCTCGGAAGGGCGGGAGAGGCTGGCCCGCTTGCCGGCAGCACCGCGGAGTCTCCGGGAGGGAGCGGCTGCCCGAGTCCCTCCTGGCCAACGCTGCAGCGGGCACCGAGTGAGGGGTGGAGCCGGCCGGATTACACATTAAGGGCTGGGCTGGATCCCAACTCGCCGGGGAGGCGGCGTGGAGTTGGCTTGTCGCCGGCTGCCGCGGCCAGACACCTGGGAGTCCCGGGAGCCGGACACAAGGGGTGGGGTGGGAGCGACCGACCGGAGGAGAGATCCGAAAGGCACCCCGGGGAGGGACGGGCGTGAGGCGTGACAGCAAATAGGGCGGCGAGGAGGAGGCGCCCCGGCAGCGGAGGTGGCCAGACGGGGCCTCGCGGCTGCCTCGTGGGGCAAAAGTGAGCAGGCAGAGCCCCAGGCGATCATGGAAGGCAGCTGCCACCACCAGCAGCAGGACGCGGTGGAAGCGTGGCTGGACGATCACGGAGACTTTACCTGCTCTTACTTTGTTCGAAAGGCCACCAGGTAAGCTCAAGAGCCAAAGGCACGGCAACACCTTCTTTCGTCTGGGCGGGGCTGGGGAGGAAGTGGAGGACTGGGAGAGGGAGAACAGTTTTTTTTTTCCCCGTCCCCTGACTTGGAAAAGGAGACGGAGAAGCAGCGGCGGCGGCGGCAGCGAGGATTTTCCACCAAGCCGAAAGCAGCCAAAACACACAGGCGCTCTGTGTCGAGGCTCCGAGTTCCCGCGTGCAAATAGTTATCTGGGGTTGCGTGTAACCCAAGGCTGGCCGCTTTTTCTTGTTTTTGTTTTTAACTCTGTGTCCGGCTCTGTTTGAGATCTTTGACCGGGAGAAAGGCACACGACCTTTCCCCTGCAGGCTAAACCCACGCGCGAAAAAACGGATAAACTCAGCGCGCTCAGGATAACTGGGACCGACTTCATAGAAAGTGCCCGCAGAATCTGGAAAGCTTCCTTTGCTCACGTCGGGCCTTTCCACATGCGTTGGGGGGCAGCTGGTACCCGAGGCCTGCTGGCTGGGAATAAACTGGGTTGTGCATCCGAAAATGAGCTGAAAACCCGTCTCCAAGTCCTCTATAAATGTATTTTCTATAAGGCTGACAACCCGAGCAAGCAGGTCGGATTTTACAACGGCTCAACCACTCGAGTTTCCATTTAGCTTCTAAACCAAAAAGAGCTTGTTTCGAACCCTGATTTAATGGGTTGGCTTGTGATCCAGTTCATTCTTAAGTTGCCACCTAGTATAACATTTTAAAAAATCATATTTTATGTTAGGCTATCCCCAGTTTCATGGGATAGTTAATGCAGGATTATCCTCCTAATGGGTAAATGGCAAGAAAAATAAGAACCAAAAAGAAAAGGGAGAGGGGGAAAAAAAGGAGTCAGAGAAAGAAAAACTTTTGTTAAGTATAGGAAGATTTTTGCTTCGCCATCCGCTCACTAGCATTTTGATGGATACAATAAATCAGGGGTCTCCAACCTTGGCAACTTTAAGCCTGGCAAACTTAAAGTCCCAGAATTCTGGGAGTCGAAGTCTGCCAGGCTTAAAGTTGCCAGGGCTGGAGACCCCTGGAATAAATTATGTTGAAGGTAACTATCCTCTCCCTACAGCAAAGATGAGAGCAGATGAAGCTTTTCAGTGTTGGGGACACCTCCCTTGCACAGAAAGAAGGCAAAGCCACGGAGATCCAACGCCTTAAAGCCTTAAAGTCATGAATAGAGCTTCTATGTGTGGAAGCAGTGGACCAAACGCTAGGAGCTTTTCAGCCCTTTCCTCGAAAGCATCAGATTCATAGCAGGCTGGGTCCAGGGAAGCGGATCCACCTATTTTTTTTTGAAGGACAAAGGGCAGCATTGCAGTGCTGATAGCAAAAACCAGGATGAAACCAGGATGAAACCAGGATGAAAGGATGTTTGTGATCATTTAGGAGCTGGAGCAATAAGAAAGATGCTGTGGCTAGGAAGCTGCCATGAGACACTATTAAGGCAGGGGGCGAGGCGGAGTGGCCAAAGCTCCTGAAGGCCAAACAAGGAAGGATGGATGGAAACTGAACAAGGAGAGATTCAACCTGGAAATAAGGAGACATTTTCTGACAGTGAGAACAATCAACCCATGGGACAGACGTTGCCTTCGGAAGTTGTGGGAACTTCATCACTGGAGGCTTTCAAGAAGAGACTGGACTCCTATCTGTCAGAAGTGGTGTAGAGTCTCCTGCTTGGGCAGGAGGTTGGACTAGATGACCGACAAGGTCCTTTCCAACTCTGTCAATTTGTAATCTGTGGCGATCTCCACTTCCTTGGCGTACTTTTAGGAGCTGAGCTCCAGAGGAGGGAGGAGGGGTGGGGTATCCCAAAAGGAGCCGTTTGCGAAAGAGGCGCGGCCGCCGACGGCCGCCAGGAGGCAGCGGTGCACCGCAGCGGCTCCAAGTCGGCCAAGGGCAAAGAAGTTTTATCAGTCGAGGGTGGGGTTTGGGGGACCCGGGGAGAGGTCTCGGCTCGAGTTTCGGTTGAGATCCAAAGCGGAGATCAAAGGAGCTCGCCTGGATTCCTTTCTCTCAAGTTGGACATGCTGCCTTTTGGAGACAAAGCGAGGTACTCTGGCGCTGAGGCACTTCCACTGGTTTTAGAAAGGGAGTCAGGTTTCAAGTTCGGAGTAGTTTCCGTTCGAAAGAAAAACGGGTTCAGGCGGCTCAAAGAGAGCAGCAACGCTCCAGGGTGGCTTGGCGGGGTTAGAAAGTCAGCGCGGCAACTCAAAATGAAGTCTTCCGGCCGTAGCGAAGCCCCCCCCCCCCCGCCTGATCGCCTCCGGATTTGTCTCTAGGCTCCCCCTCTCCTCCAGCGGCTCCCACCATCTGCTCCAGCCCCCTTTGGCTTCCCCGACCCCTTAATGGAGATGGATGGGGTTTGGATGGGTTTGACGCCAGTGTGCCTCTCCATCTGAGATGGTGTGGTAAGAGGAGAGGTTCCCATTAATTATTGACTCGCAGGTTGCACGGGTCACTTGCCTTCCCGAAGCCCAGCTGCGACGAACGAAGCCTTTTCCCTTTTCCCGTATTTGCCTAGTCTCCTTTCAAAAGGAAAACAAAATCGAAGCAGGGACTATGCCCTCTTCTCTCTCTAAGAGGGATCTAAAATAAAAACCCAGAATGGAATAAAACCCGCCATAGGCATCACATGTATCCCACAGCACTTATGGAAGAACTTGCACTCTTGTACATAATTTGGGGTTCCTCCCAGCCCAGAGCATTTAAATATATATTGAAGACAAATATACAGTAGAAGTTACTGTCCCATAGGATTTGGTATTGGAGGGAGGGGTAATTGAATTGAGCAAGAGGAAAAGAATGAAAATACTTGAAACCAGCATTGCTGGTGGTTTTTTGGGGTAAGAATGTCATATATGTGCTTTTAAAAATACAAACAATCAAAACTGAGTAGCATGCCTTCTAAAAATTAATTGGTTACAAGCTAGAATGTAGACATGCATTTTTTGTTACTGCTGCATATTCCAGAGCCTAGATTTCATGCACAATAGTATTTATTATAAATTATAACATTTGCAAGCTATAACCACAAACACAAAGTGGGGATGTTCTTTGGTTTGATGTCAGTTAAATATGAAGTGCACCCTATTATATTGTAAGTATGTATCTGGTCTATACATAACTTCAGTTGTCCACAGTGTTGCTATATTCCAAAGAATATTATGTAGTTTATGTGGCAGTGGCTATTATTAGTGTATGCATAATAGCTAGGGTAGCAGATTTTGATTGCTATATTAATTAATGGAATGTTAGTTCATTAATGAGTGAGGAATATTTTTAATCACTGAATTTCATGGACACAGTTGTCATATTTAATTAGGCTATTACAGCTGTATGGAATGAATATTAAATGCTATAGATATATTTTATTCTAAAAATAGGCACTTTTTCTTCCAGTTCTTCCAGTATTTGCAATAGTGGCAATAAGGTAATGTAATAAACTCATCTGATTTATGGATTGCCTTAAAGATAACGATTCATGAACTAAAAAATCTTCATTATTAGCTTTAATTACGCCACTTTGGTATACTACTTATACTGTTATACAAGAGAATCAAATGTCAAATTTTGTATTTGTGCTAGTATTTTTTAACATGTATAAATATGTGTGTGTATGTGTATATATATGAGTGTTTGTGTGTATATGTGTGTGTGTATGTTGTTTTTAAAATGTATTTATTGGTGATAGAGGAGATCCATTTATACCAGTTTTGAGAAATATCAGTGTTTTAAACAAATAACTTCATATATGCATTGCCCCCTGAATACAGATCCATTAGTAGCATGTAAAAAGTGTGAGGAACACAATCATATGCATGTGATTTTATTGTATTCTATATTAGTTTTCAGTATAAGAATCTAAAAGCAGTCTGAGCAAATAGATACTCCTATGTATACTTGGAATTAAGTTGATTTCTTTTTAAAGTCAGAATCATGAATATATGGGTTTTTTAACACCACAAATCATTTTATGTTTTTAAGAAAGATTTGTAATGGGGTGGAGATTACAAAACACAATATCATATATGTGATAGGCCTCAGTTTTTACTCTCTGGACTGTTTGAAACTAGCCTGACACTGTACTTTGTGCATTCAGCAAGGTCTTGTTTGTTTTTAAGAGGAGAGTAACTTTGATGGCAATCAAAATTTCAAATCTCATTTTGCAAATTTATACCTGTTGAAAAATAGAAAAAAATACAATTGACCTGCATAAGACCTACCTAACAAAACTTAGTTTTTATAAAGGGAGAATTTGGGTTGCATTGATATCGGAGTTGTACTAAAGTTCAAATTATATAAATATATTGTATAATGGCACTTATCAGAGGTACACTTTCAGAAGAGATTGTGTATGTGCAGTACTGTAAATATAAAATGGTGTGATCAGATGATTATTGGAATTTAGTCTCTCAAAATAAATTCATGGGTGACAATATTCATTGTTAATGCACTTAAAACTTAGAAGGAATTATGCCTCACTTTTTCAAAAGTATTCACGTGCTTTGATAAAAGTTTGTATCTTAACTCTTGAAAGGGAAATATGCCTAAACCACCACTTTTCTGTTTTAAAACTTTGAAAAAAAATAATATCTGATCCAGATTTAAATCACTTTTGAATAAGAAAGTAAGTAATTTCTTATCTTAGTACTGGAGAATTAAAAATTAAGAATATTTTAATACTAAAGATGTCAACTTAGAAGCTATAGTATTAATAAGTAATTATGCAACATCTTAATTTTACCATTTTCCTAACTATGTTAGTACAAAGATATTTTAAAATACAGAATAGGTATGCAATATGGTTCAGAATTCTGAGAGTATCAAGTAGTTGGTTAAGAAACCAGTTACCCAAGGGACAGTGATGCTATTTTAAAGTGCTATTTTTAAAGTTTAAGTCTTTTATAACTTAAATGTTATAATGTTTTCAAGGGATGAGTTACAGGGTGTTAATATGAGAAAGA